GGTTTTCCGATACAACCCTCCCTACAACACACATGATCCTATTTTTCCTAAAATTTTGCAAAAAAACTTATAATCCGCGCATAACAACGATGAATGTTCTATAGTCCCTGAGCGAACGCTGTTCCTTACCCTTCGTACCAAAACAACTACAGCGGTTGCCTGTCTGTCACCCAACCATCCCCTTACCTTATCAAGTTCATTAACTCCACCAAAAACCACATTTATTAACTCCCAAAGCTTTATAAAAACTCCGCCGGCAGTCCATCTATGCCTCGGTGCTTGCCCTTTTTGCATTGCACTCAAGCTCTCATATTCCCCCTCAGTTATTCCCCCCCAAAGCTTCCCTATCACTGTGTCCTAGCCTACATGGCACCATCCACACAACCCTCTCTAAATCCCCTAATCCTACCCCTTCTCCCCGCCAATACTTTCGTACCACAGTATGCCGCAAACAACCCCATCCCCATCCTTAGTGTGGATAACCTGACCCGCGCCTAATACCCTCCGCACCGACTCAAGAACCTCCAAACATGGAATAGTTTGGTTTGCCTGCCGACCTTTGATTTTGTTCTGCGCAACACACACGAAGACGGCCAATTACACCCCCATAACACCGGGGTCCTCCACCCCCGCCCATTACCTCATACCGCTTGGAACCGCTCGTCCTGAATTACTCGCAACCCCGCACTTTAAGTAACATAATGTCTCCATGCGGATAGACACCCACTACTAGTCACCTTGATACAGAACAACCCCTTAACCTGTCCCCTCTCACAAAAATTAATCAACCCCAAATTGTAAAGAATAAATCCTTTTCATTCCTTCCCCTCGCCTCACATAATAATGCCGAATATCCGGTCCTAGCCACACCATTCCCACCATCCCCGTCACCACGACCCTCCACAACCTTGTACCGTCCACAGTATAATCTCTCCCCAACAGCTCCGTAAAAACCCCCCCAATCCCCTCCTCAACTTCCAACCGACTCGTATTAATTTCCATAAACCCCTAGAGATACAAGCTAGAGAATTCCCACTCTACTTCTGCGACATACCGCCTATGATCTGAAAAAGCTAGTTCAATAGTACGGACAGACGTTGACAATACCTTATGAGATATATTCAACCTGTCCTAACCTAGCTCGTAACCTCGCCTCACGAAAGTATGCTCCACCTCCACGCTCCCCCACCAACCACATCCCTCAACGAAAGGGGGGGGGGGGGGGGGGGGGGGGGGGGGGGGGGGGGGCGTCACCAAAAGAATGCGTAATGTGTCAACATAGTGCCCCGCCCCTCGTGGTTCCCATCCGCACTCCTGATCACACAATTCCAGTCCCCACCTACGACGGCCACTTCAGTAAACCACGGAAAGCAAAAACTAGATCAATCATCACACAAAAATCCCTCTTGACTTTCATATCAATTTTCAGCTGGTGCAATACACACTTACAAAAGGTTACCCTCTGCCCCATCCACCACCCATCCACACGCAACACCCTCCCCCCCCACCCCCTTCACTTCTTTGCAACACAAACGGGCTCGCCTCCTTTTATCAATAAACCCACACCAACCTTTCAAAGTGCCGATGCAGAGTCCAACAACCGTATACCCGTCCACCTCGATCACTCTACCCTCCCTGAAATTATCTCCAGTAAAAGACTACGTCACACTCTGTATCGCGTAATAGCATACGAAGGCATTTTCCCTCTTCACATCCAGTACACAGTCCATTCACAATCACCAGTCATGCACTTAAGGCCTTTCTAAAGCTTCCGAACCGCTTTCTCACTCTCACCCTTCCCAGGGCCTTCTTGCCCCATGGTCAACATGTGGTTTGGTCACCCATCCACCCCCCCCCCTCTTCGATGCCTCGAATCCCTGGCTGTCACGAGAATATACATCCTTCCTCCCATACCTCTGCCGGGCGTCAGTACAATCAACTGAGTCTGACGCAGCCGCCCTCTTCCTCGTAACACTCTCTAAAAAATACCGCCATACTGTCTACCGAAGATACTCACAGTGAACATCAACCTCTACTTGACATGTCGCACAGAGCTCGTGACTCCCTCTCTCTGCCTTGCATTGTCCTCCTTCCTTCCCGTGCCTGTCCCGCCACCTCTCCTTTCAACTCAGGCACCATTTCACGGACCAAGCCCATTATCCTCAGCCCGAAGAAGGTAAAGTTTTTCATACCTCTGTCGAGCTCCTCCTCCACTCCTTGCAACCTCCTGCTGCATGAGCACTTCCTCCCGCCTTCCACAACGCATAGTGGCCATTATCGGCTCCACACAACTCGTGCCTCCGCCTCCTCATGCACACAAGAGACTCTTTCTTCTTCTACAATTTCACTCCAACAGACGGCCATCTCCTCGGTTTTTCCTTAGGACTTTCTCCTCTACGCGACAACCACACCTGTAACTGGTGCACCAACTGTTTGCGCCGGCGCCCTCCACTGCCTCCCCCACGTCGCGCCATAAATGGACATACTCTTCCACACAACCTGCATGTTTCCGACGCTGCCCAGCAATACCCACTAGAATTTGGGTCCTAAACTCCGGCAATACACGACGTAAACGGGATCGGGTGCCTCAGTGTCATTTTGAAGGGAGAATGTAAGCCCTCCGGACTCCCACTACGCACAACTGCCCCCCTTGCCATGTTGCCAGATTCACTGTACCATAAGCTTCCAACAAAATAAACTTCCTCAGTCCTCCTCGACACCTCGAAGGGACATTGCCAACTTCCACACCACGTATAGTGGCCGAGAAACTCTATGATTCGTCACTTTTGACAGACAGGAGTTACATCAATACACACATGCTCAAATTTCGTCCACTAAACGACTCTGTACACAGCCGTCGAATTTAACTTGACGAATAACGATAGCCCCATTCAGGGATACAAAACTATAAACCTCATCATCCTGCACTCCGTACTACGTTTCACTGATGATTGCCGGAAGTAACACCTGCGCCGTAGAGGGGGAAATCGCCCCACGAAGCAGCTCCACGCCGACAGTGTTCACCCTACGTCGGATACTCAGCGCCATATTGTTGCTATGAGAGCTCTCCTGACAGAACAGCAGAGGGGTGCTGTGCACAACCGCACTCCACCGCAGTCAGGCAGCTAATCCCCGCTATTTTAAACTTAAGATTTAATTTAAGTCTGCCCGAAATGCCTAGCCATGCTAGGTGTTCTAGTGTACACTCTGTAATTATTATTTTACTACATGTAAACCACACAATAACCAAATTCTGTAAACCCAGCATTGTAATCCTTATAGAGAATAAACTTTGAATAGAATTGAATTGTAGGTTCGCTGGTACTGCTGGCCCGGGTCTTCTTCAGATGGCGGCCCGGCCAGATTCCATCTCCCCCTTCCTCCTTTATATCGTTTTTGATACAACAGTTTTAAATTTTTCCTAACGTACATAGCAACTTTATCCTCCTTTCCCTTTGACTCAGTATGTGGCATTCAGCAAGCATCTTCCTATTTTTCAGATTGAGCCAAATCTGTTATTGCAATAATGACTATTTCCTTCTCTTGTAATTAGTTTTGATTCATCTATTTTATTTCATACGCTCTGGCTATCTATAGTAGATGTTAAGGAGGTTTTTGCTTTTACTATTTTACGAGCTGTTCCGTTTTCTGAACATTTTTTTAACATGGCAATTTTTGCTGTCTCCGTTCCGACTAGTACTTCACTCCTCATTGTTTCCCACACATACCCGTACCTTTATCTTAATACAATTTAACATTGACGCCTTCCACTGAATTGGCTAATGTTACCACCCCTGCTGTAGAAAGGTGCACCCCATCCCCTTACATGTATATGTTTGCCATATAAATTATCCCAGTTATCAATGGATGGAATTTAAAGTTCTCTGCAGTACTTGTCAAGTCGGCAACTTAAACCAGTTGCCCCAGACATCCATTCACTGCAAGCTCTTCTAAGCAAAATGCTACACATGGTCGAGATCAGTTCCTTTGACTTAATTAGATTAATAGTTAGCTTGTGCTTGGCCAGCAATTCTTCTCTTTTGCATTTTCCAAAATCACTCCCTGCCATACTGAGGCAGATAATGGGTTTGTTCCCATTATCTGACATGGCGTTTTCTAACCTGTTAATTACATCATCCACATCTGCTCCAGGGGAACGCATCCTCTGTCTTGTTTTCTTATCCTTGTTACAGAATCCTCGGTCCTTATATTTGAGTTTTCGACAAGTATGTCTTTTTTTTTTTCACTCGTCTCTTTGTCAAACAACTGTACACTCGTCCCGATGAACAGCGAAGTGATTCTCGGTCTTCAACTTGTGGGAACCACTTTCCGTTCGTTTCATTCAACATGTTTTCCATTTCATTTTATTACAGTTGCCATCCTTGTTATCCAAAGATTTTAATTCCTCATTCTCCTTCCCAAGAACTAGAACCTCATCCTCGAATTCCTTAAATCGGAGTTAAAGTAAACTCTCAGTATATACCTGGTATAACACCGAGACCTCGCGGTGTTGTCTGTACTTTAAATGGCATATTATTTCCTATTATATTCCATGCTTTTATATGAAGCTTGGTTTATTTATGTACCTATTTTTGCTTAACTAGTAATATTCAAAACTGATGAACACTAGGCTATGCTAAATTCTGAAGTCTTATTTTTTTAATGAGCTGTTCTGCAAATGCTGAAGGCTGGAAATACGTTTTCCTTACATCTATTTATTTCCAGTGCATGCCAGACTAATAAAGAATAAAATGATACCACATCATAATGTTTAACTACATGTGCATACGTGATAGTCCCCCTTTGCCTATCTCCGCTCCCTGTCCTCTGATGATAGTTACACAACTCGCACATAGAAGAGAGGAGCTTAAGATGACGTTTCGGTCCGACTTGGACTATTCACCAACTCCAAGTCGGACCGAAACGTCGTCGTAAGCTCCTCTCTTCCATGTGCGGGTTATTTGTGTATCGTTCCAGTCACGGTATTGTGCCTTTTTGTTATCCCTGATGATAGTTGCTGGTTTGTGCGTAATCAGTTTTGTAATTTCAAGGATCAATTCATAACTTCTGGCATTGCACCCTTAACTATATTAAATGGAATTGCCGATGTCTGACCTGGGCCCTGTCATACCTACTCTTGAAACTATGTATGGAGTTTGCTTAATCTCTCCCTCATTTAATTAATTCCACTTTCCTATATTAACGTAACATTCAATAAACATTCCATAACGTGCCGGTGGCTCGTTTTTAGTTTACATATTTCATGTTCTCACATTTTTAAACGGATAGTCTTTATCCTCTCTATCAATTCCGCCGAGTATCTTAGTATATCGTAATCGTGTCATCACTAGTGTGTGTGGGGGAGGTGGGAAGAAAGGTATGTGCGTTTACAAGTGTCTTAGGTTTGTGTTACTTGATTATGCCTGTGCTTTTCCAGGGGTTAATATACGTTAATTTAATGTTAACAAGTGAGAACCAACATCGAAATTAGATTAGGAAGAAGTTAGCATAGTGGGACATGCTGTAAAACTAGAACCAATATCAGGCCAAACCAGTCATGTGACTTATCTCTCGGTTCACATCACTGGAACAAATTTAAATTGTATGGTGCTGAAAGTGTATGGTCTGTAGTCGGTATAAGGTGGATGGGAAATATGGGGGGTTTGCAGAGATGCGTATGGTGGCACTTGTGTGAGAGGGAGGGGTGATGGATGAGAGATATGGGGGTGTGCAGGGACGCGTATAGTGGCACTCTTGTAGGAGGGGAAGGGAGGCTAGGTATTGAGAAGCACGTGATGGTAGGAGGGAGGTGAGCGAGGGTACTGAGGTAACTGGCGACTAGGTGAGACACAAGCAGACAGGTCGCCACCACTACCACCCACACTAATCACACTTCGCTCCTCAACACCTCCACTTGTCGCAGATCTTATAATCGACGCGAACTTAGCTCTCCCACTACAGTACGTTGTATCCGTCTGAGGTAACCAACTTGGCAGTACATACTGTAAATATGGACGGTACTCTGGTAGTGTTTGCGAATGTTTTCTAAACACGAAAATAAACCGCAGGAAGGAACGAGTTGAAGTACTGACTCGTGTGTGGTGTTGTAAATTTCGCAGCGGAGTAAAATTGTTAGTTGTGGTGTGTGTGTGTGTGAGTGGGCGTGGTTACCCTGACTGCGTGAGAACACATCAGGAGGTTGTTATTTGCGCGGTGCTCCGGTCTGCCCCATCCTGCCAAGCTGGACGCCCTACTCCTGAAGGGAGCCAGGCTCCCCATCATCACTCGCAAGAAATCTAGCACATCCAACGGTATCATCGACTTGCAAGGTCTATCCTCGAGGCGCTCCCCCGTGGTGATGGCTCCCAAGGTTCCAGAAGAGCCAGGCGAGGATGCCACCATCTCAGGGTGTGATGGTGAGGATGATGAGTCACCAGTCCTGCCGGAGACTGTGGCACTTCTCACCCCTGTCAGCCCCAACATCACTCCTCCTTCAGACTCTACATGGCCGCCTCCTTCACCGCGTGTTCCTATAGCTCGCCCCTCTGCACATGGCAGCTCCTCGACACCAGACACAGCTGAAGCTGAACCCTCCGGCGCCAGTAGTTTCTTCTCAAGCAAAAAAATAATCAGGTAAATGTGTGTGATCACAGCCATAAGTGGATTGTTATTGATTATTTTATATACAGCTCTAAACTTATTTGTGGAAGTAAATGGTATAAAGTACCGGTACAAGGAAAAATAAACACATAAACAGTATAATGTGATCCTTTATTGACAACGTTTCGCCCACAGTGAATTTTATCAAGCCACAAACAGATCTGTTTGTGACGTGATAAAGACCACTGTGTGGGCGAAACGTTGTCAATAAAGGAACACATTATACTGCATGTGTTTATTTTTCCAAAGTTGTTTCTGTTGGAGGCTCGATACTCCTTTTGCTAAAGCTATACGATCAGTAAGCTGTTTGTTGACATGTATTGTTGGTGTCTTCCAGTTCCAGGCTTTTCATACTTGGAGATACTTTATTCGTAGGGAAATTTTCATCTGACGAGGGATAGGTTTCTAAAATTAGTGCCTGATCAGCATACGTTGGACTGTATGCTGTCAGAAGTAACAGCCTGGTTGATCAGACCTTCATCCGCCAGACCTGGTATGGGACCGCTCCGCAGGAGCGTTGACCCTCAGAACACTCTCCAGGTATTTGTAGATGAATGGTTCAGAGAACCGACATGTAGTCTTAATCATATGATGACCTCTTAGTCATGAGTGAGAGACCCTCTGACCCGGTGCCTTGCCCGAAGTCCGGACCCCCTCCCTCCCCCCTCAAAAACAAAAAATACCACACCATATAAAACATAAGTCCAGTTTCCATACCACTGGCAATCAATATATATATATATATATATATATATATATATATATATATATATTATATATATATATATATATATATATATATATATATATATATATATATATGTGTGTGTGTGTGTATGTCGTGCCGAATATGTAAAACTGGTCAATTAGCAAGAACTCATTTAAAATTAGGTCCTTTCTGAAATTTTCTCTTATACGTTTAAAGATATATTTTTTTCATTAATGTTAATGTAAAAAAAATTAATTTTGCACCAAAAGAATCTTAGAAATATTACCTAACCTTATTATAACAAAAGCAATTTATTTTAGCCTAACCCAACTAAATATATTTTAAATACGTTTACAATAATTTAGTACTAAACAAACACAATCAAATATATTTTTTTTCGTTAGGTTCAGAATGATTTTGGCGAAATTATTGCATACACAAATTTTCACTTGTTCTATATGGCAAGATGAACGTTGCTATTTAAGCCAAGATCGCAAGTTCTGCCTATTCGGCAGGACATATATATATTAGTCTTCTCTTCATTTTACTCATGATGCTTCACATGCCTTTTTAAGACAAATAAGTAGGTAGCTTGTGGTGTTCATTACTAATGTATAAGTAGGGTTCCTTACTACACACCTGCTGTGAGACACACTTGTGACCGCTTCCGAGGGTTTTCTCTATACAGCCCGTCTTGAGGCCAGACTTTCCTGATAACCGCTTGGTCATTCAGGTTGTTGGTGGTAGCGGTCCACAAGCCCGTGTGGCCATCACGGCCTAGTTGATTTGGCACTTACAGGAGAAAATAGTTTAGTTTCCTCTAGATATTTTTTTTCTTTTAAGAATTTGCCCAGAGGGCAAATACGCAATAATAATAATTGATTACATTCCTAATAAATGACACATTGCCAAAGTCAGCTTCATTCTTCAGTAACAGGTATAACCACCTTTACAATGACAATATCCTTATCTGCAGATATCATTATCTTTACAAATTATCATTATTTAATAACAGCAGATCCTGCACATTTTTGTAAGATGCCACCAACCTTAGTTACAACCTTCACACGTTCTTCATTGATGTTTGTAGCATTATGTATGTTCTTATACTGTGTTGTAAGATAGTGACGGAGGGTTTGTTTATGCTCTTCTTTATCTACACTCGACATTATCTACACTCTTGTAGTTGATGCACCAACCTGTCACTCCACTCTTGTAGTTGCTGCACCAACCTGTCACTCCACTCTTGTAGTTGCTGTACCAACCTGTCACTCCACTCTTGTAGTTGCTGCACCAACCTGTCACTCCACTCTTGTAGTTGCTGCACCAACCTGTCACTCCACTCTTGTAGTTGCTGCACCAACCTGTCACTCCACTCTTGTAGTTGCTGCACCAACCTGTCACTCCACTCTTGTAGTTGCTGCACCAACCTGTCACTCCACTCTTGTAGTTGATGCACCAACCTGTCACTACACTCTTGTAGTTGATGCACCAACCTGTCACTCCACTCTTGTAGTTGCTGCACCAACCTGTCACTCCACTCTTGTAGTTGCTGCACCAACCTGTCACTCCACTCTTGTAGTTGCTGCACCAACCTGTCACTCACTCTTGTAGTTGCTGCACCAACCTGTCACTCCACTCTTGTAGTTGCTGCACCAACCTGTCACTCCACTCTTGTAGTTGCTGCACCAACCTGTCACTCCACTCTTGTAGTTGCTGCACCAACCTGTCACTCCACTCTTGTAGTTGCTGCACCAACCTGTCACTCCACTCTTGTAGTTGCTGCACCAACCTGTCACTCCACTCTTGTAGTTGCTGCACCAACCTGTCACTCCACTCTTGTAGTTGCTGGCACCAACCTGTCACTCCACTCTTGTAGTTGCTGCACCAACCTGTCACCTCCACTCTTGTAGTTGCTGCACCAACCTGTCCACTCCACTCTTGTAGTTGCTGCACCAACCTGTCACTCCACTCTTGTAGTTGATGCACCAACCTGTCACTCCACTCTTGTAGTTGCTGCACCAACCTGTCACTCCACTCTTGTAGTTGCTGCACCAACCCGTCACTCCACTCTTGTAGTTGCTGCACCAACCTGTCACTCCACTCTTGTAGTTGCTGCACCAACCTGTCACTCCACTCTTGTAGTTGCTACTACCGTCTCTTCTCTTCTATTCCCATCTTTATTACATCTGAAGCAATCTATCTGTACACATTCACTATTTTCTGAACACTTCTCTCGTTTAGCTCATCCTCTAAGATTTATGAAATCAAATTAAATTGTAATACACAACTGTCAAAGAATAAACAGAATTGTGGACGAGGGGCTTGAACCGAGGTCCGTAAATCGGCAGTCCGACGTTCTGCTTTACCGTTTCTGAAAACATCTAGTCTATATCTCCGTGTGCTCGTGTCTACCAGCTCCTCAGTTCACTCATTTCCCTGCCATGTTCAGCTCCGTAGTTTTGAACAATGGAGCTAAACACTTCTCAAGGGTGATAGCATACAATGATAGCCATACAAGCATTACTAGCTCTTTTTTTTTTTTTTTGGCCGTTTTCACAATCGTTATGTCTTTTTCAATATTGTTAGTGATCTTTATATGAAAAAATACATTCTTTGGATTATTAACCCCAGAGAATTAATAGCCCTATGAAGCAAATTTATAGATAATCTAGGTAAATTTAGTTTTTTTTTATTAACACATCGGCCGCTTCCCACCAAGGCAGGGTGGCCCGAAAAAGAAAAACTTTCATCATTCACTCCATCACTGTCTTGCCAGAGGCGTCTTTACACTACAGTTATAAAACTGCAACATTAACACCCCTCCTTCAGAGTGCAGACACTGTACTTCCCATCTCCAGGACTCAAGTCCGGCCTGCCGGTTTCCCTGAATCCCTTCATAAATATTACGCTGCTCACACTCCAACAGCACGTCAAGTCCTAAAACCCATTTATCTCCATTCGCTCCTATATAATACTCTCACGCATGCTTGCTGGAAGCCCAAGCCCCTCGCACACAAAACCTCCATTACCCTCTCCCCTCAGCTTTTCCTAGGCCGACTCCCTACCCCACCTTCACTACAGATTTATACTCTTGAAGTCGTTCTGTTTCGTTCCATTCTCTCTACATACCTGGAGGTTACCTGGAGGTTATTCCGGGGATCAACGCCCCCGCGGCCCGGTCCATGACCGAACCACCTCAACAACCCTTCCTCAGTACCTCCTAATTTCCAAACTACGAATTCTCTGCATTATATTCACACCACACATTGCATTCAGACGTAACATCTCCATTATTTTTGCGTATTTTACGTAAATTTACCAACGTAGGTTGTTAGTTTTGGCAAAAAATTAAAAAAAAAAAACTCTGTAATTGAGAGGGTGAATCTTCAAGGGATCATATTTTTTTGTATATAGTATAACAAACAGTATCGCTCAAACCACAGCAGGATTCGAACCTACACTGCGTCAAAATACAAAGTACCTTCTCCACTTGGCCAGACCGCAGATAATTATGGGCGCCTGCCTAGCCAAAGCTAAATGGTCACTCCCGGACCCCGGGACACCGGGCCTGTGATGGGCTATTTCTCCAAATTCTGCCACATGCCGTGAACAACTAAAGAAATTTTGAAATGCTTATCAATTCGCAAACAATATGTAAAGTAAAAGGACACAAGTGCAATTAATGTGACATTTTATTGTGGGAACGTTTCGCTCTCCAGGAGCTTTGTCAAGCCGGTATCGGCTTGACAAAGCTCCTGGAGAGCGAAACGTTGCCACAATAAAATGTCACATTAGTTGCACTTGTGTCCTTTTACTTTACATATTGTCGGTAATTCTACCAACATTATTACAATTCGTAAACAGACGAAATTATTTACAAACATTATCTCTCAGTCCACAGCAGGATTCGAACCTACACAGTCTGCATCGAAGTATGTACTTTGTACGTACTACGTGCTTTGATTCAGAGTAAGTTCGAATCTTGCTGTGAACTGAGAGATAATGTTTGTAAATAATTTCGTCTGTTTACGAATTGTGTGTGGTGTGTGTGTGTGTGTGTGTGGTGTGTGTGTACTCGCCTAATTGTGCTCACCTAATTGTGGTTGCAGGAGTCGAGACTCAGCTCCTGACCCCGCCTCTTCACTGATCGCTACTAGGTCCTCTCTCTGCTTCCTGAGCTGTATCATACCTCTTCTTAAAACTATGTATGGTTCCTGCCTCCACTACTTCACTTGCTAGGCTATTCCACTTCCTGACAACT